ATTCTTAAGTTAAATAGCAGTCTCTTACTGTCCTGGGATTCCATTGCATAGATAGTAGGTTTTGCCTTGAGAATTCCTCTATTTTTAGTCTGGATTCATTACTATCTTTACAATATTTTATTATGTACAAAAATGCCATATGCATACATACACATAGCGCTGCCAAATTTAATTTGCAAAGCAGAGATTTTTTTTTTAATATAAAAAGAGAAGATGTACTACATATGCACAAACTAAGTTTCAAACCCTCAAATCTTGGCAAATCAAAGACCTCTTACACTGGAACGTCAAGAGGGAACGTGTTTGGGGCCTCGTAAAACCAGAACATAGCAAAGCTTTGCCAAAACCAAAACATGGCAATATAAGGCTACATTTAGTTAAAAATAAACTACCTGTTAATTAAATGGTCCCTAGTGGATGCTGAATTTTGTATGGCTCTTTGTAATTCTTCATCTGAGCCTGTAATCCTCCATTTGCGAAAGAAGGTCCTCTTAGGATTTTTACTTTTAAGGCACTTTGTCTAGTAACTTCTCAAGTATCTGAGATGGTAGTATATGCTTAAAAATGTATGTTTGCCTGGCTTTACTTTTATTTTCCTTTAATGACAGGGTATCCTAAGTACTATAGTATTCTTTGCTCACAAGCTCCCCACTATTTTCATCAAAACAAGAATTGCCCTTTCTTCAACATGTATGTCTTTCTCCAACAATGCTGAGTATGTCTAAAGTACCATGAAATTCTGTATGAACAGAACTCAAATTTTTCAAGTGTAGGAGGTAAATTTATTTTGACATAGGTCATGAAAATGTTTCCAAACAGTCAGGATTGTGTATCTGTGAGTCATATGGGGTCAGCCTTGTGGTCAGATGATCGTAACACTTTTTGTGAGAACCAGCTCCACCTCCTGGATTGAAAGGAGCAACACTTTTCTAGGACAAATCTGCAGAGCTACTGTATGGTCATCTGTGTATACATTACATGTATGTGACAGGGTAGCATGCATGCAGATGGAGCTTCTGGCAGAACTTTTCTAGTTTTATCAAGTATAGAGTAGGGTATAAACACTGCTTGTGTAGTAATGCAAGTTTAACCAAATAAAGGACCTCTGTGCTGATCATACTTATTCAGAAGTAAGTCCTGTAGGAATCTGTGTTCTTCTATTGCTAAGTAAGAAATAATATGCAGCTATAAAGCCTGCTTGAAATGCACTATGCAGATGTGCAGTTTCTGGTTTGCTATAAGTAATAAACTTTCTGAAAATTCAGTTGCAGGAGAGAGAATTCTTTATCTGCAGCAGGATCTCCCTTCTCACCTGTCTAGGCTGGGAGGGGCTTCTCCAGAGGTTCTTCACTGCCCTCTGCCCCTTCCCAGGCTGGGTGTTGCAGCAAGGGTGGGGGTTGAGCAGAGGAGCTGTCATGTTGCTCACAGGATGGGAAGAGTAAGAAGAGCCACACTGAGCTGTGTGTATCTTTTATAGTAGTTGTGAATGGCTAGCCAACTACAAAAGCAGTTTCTCCTCCCTTGGTGTTCACATCTCAACTGCTAGAAGAGGGCCTCATCCTCCCTGATTGAACTAACCTCGTTATCTCTAGACTGATTCTTGCCTGCATATTTATACCTGCCTCTGGAAATATCCACTACATGCGTCTGACGAAGTGGGTATTCACCCACGAAAGCTTATGCTCCAATACTTCTGTTAGTCTATAAGGTGCCATAGGACTTTTCGTTGCTTTTTACTGAGCTGCTGGCTTCTTTCTGCTCCCTTCTCCCCTCCTGTCAGAAAGGTGGCAGGTTGGTGAGAGCTCTGCCAGCAGCAACCCAGCCTGATCAGCTTCTCTATCTCAGGAGACAGGGAAGTGGGGCAGGCAGCTAGTTGGGGAGGATGCCCTCCTGATCCTTCCCTGCCCTCCCCACTCCCCCCCAAGGAAGAGCTGAAGCTTCTTACATTTAACTGAGACTAACTCCAACCCTGGCCATAATCCCCTCACTTACAAAAATATTCTTGAGTTGTCAACACTGACATAATGTTAAAGTTTAGACAGGCAAAGTTAAGGTTCTCTTTCTAATAGTGTGTTTACAAATTAAAGTATTAATTGACAACTTTCCAAACTTCTGCATATTCAGGTTGGTAATTATAACTTTGTTTCACAGGTGTTTTGGTAAATGGGAAATAATTCGATGGCCTTAGATTTAAATCTAACAGTGTTTTTGCTTTGGAAATGTAAGTTTCCATAAATTATGGTCGTGTTTTTGTGCTCAAAGTAATGTTAAGGAGGAGAAGTGTATTTTTTCATAAAAAGGGAAAACATCTGCATTCTCTCATCCTCTGGCCCAGTCCCTGCAGGAAAGTGTGGAGAAACTGATTGGGACATGGAACAGGGTGATGGTGATTAAGAGAGAATGAAGGAGCCTGGCCCTAGGTAGTGTAGCAGGAGCAGGACTTGGGAGAGGCCACCACTGGGCTGGTGTTAGGAGTGAGAGGATCTCCCTTCTCACCTGTCTAGGCTGGGAGGGGCTTCTCCAGAGGTTCTTCACTGCCCTCTGCCCCTTCCCAGGCTGAGTGTTGCAGCAAGGGTGGGGGTTGAGCAGAGGCGCTGTCATGTTGCTCACAGGATGGGAAGAGTAAGAAGAACCACACTGAGCTGTGTGTATCTTTTATAGTAGTTGTGAATGGCTAGCTAACTACAAGGCAGAGAGGGATATGAAGATGGGGAGGCATCAGAGGAGGAAGAAAGCGGTATCTGGGGCTTGCAGAGGAGAGTGACAGGATTTTGCAGTGGAAAGGAAAGGATTGTTGAGGATGAGAGTCCTAGGAAGCATGTCAGGGAATGAAACTGGGTAGATGAAGGAAACTAGGACCAAAGAGAAGTAGGGAATCTGAGGGGCAGAGAGTGCATGGGGTCTGGATGGGGAAGGGACTATGAGAATGGGAGAGAGGGAATGGCAGGCAACAATCTGAAAATTGCATGGGTGTGGTGGCTCTGGACTGACGAAGGTGAACGAGAGGAAGAAGCTCTGAGAGCTGAGGGGTAATGTTCTGAGTAATCGGATTGTGAGGGAGCAGGAGACTGCAACTCCAGCAATTTCATGAACTCTAGGGCTGAATTTCCAGCCCTGCAATTTCTGGGCTGCAGGGGGAGACTGCAGCCCAGTCCTTCACAGTTCTTAAACTGTGGAGTCTCTGGAGCAGGTATTATTGTAGTTTCATGATCATGAAAAGGATAAGGGGAGGTGAGGGGTTGGGAAAGGTGGTCCATAGGACAGTCTTTCCCTTACCTGAGGTTTTCAGAACTCCCAACAGGGGCAACTTAACTATTTCACTCCAGGCTCTGTAAGGAATAAATCAACAGGAACACAACAATTCAGTCTGCAGTTTATTAGATTTAAGCACACACAAACATAAGCAATTAGAGCATCCCAGATATTCACCTAACATCTGGAACGGTATTGAGTAATTAACAGCAGGTTTGCAGTGGCCAGTTTCTCACCCACCGGGGAGAAAAGGTGTCAGGAAAAACGTCTCAAGATGACTTCAGAGGGCTGCTCCCAAGTACAATCTATTAGCTAATCTTTTATAAAACACCCCTACTATATCATCACTTTTCTAACTTTCCATAAACTTAATATCAGAGACGTCTAGACTCAAGGTTTTCCAACCACCAAGGTTTTTAGTCTCACTTGTTTACTTGTTTGTCCCTCCTCCTATTCTGATTAGCAGAAACTAAGTTCTGACCTTGCTTCTAAAAGCCTGTCTCCAAATTAACCCTTAAGTACGTGGTGTTCTATTTCATTACTTCAGAGTGGCTGAATGCACACAATATGGTTGCAATTAGCTTGATCACATTCTGGGGTATACACACCCCTGCCCTGCCCCCAGACAGCCCGTCTCCAGCCAGCCCTGCACCCCCTGCCCTGCCCGCAGCCAGCCCCTGCTGCACCCCCTACCTGCACCAGTCCCGCACCCCTGCCCTGTCTCCAGCCAGCCCCGCAGCCAGCCCCTGCTGCACCCCCTACCCTGCCTGCAGCCAGCCCCTGCCTGCAGCCAGTCCCACATCCCCTGCCTGCAGCCAGCCCATCTCCAGCCAGCCCCCACCCCTTGCCCTGCCCGCAGCCAGCCCCTGCCGCACCCCCTGCCCTGCCTCCAGCCAGACTCTACCTCCAGTCAGCCCCTGCCCTGCCTCCAGCCAGCAATGTACGTAATATATAATTTTGTTATTATTTATATAGTTATGGAAAGTAAATAATACATGGAAGAAATGAAAGAGGTTTTTTTACGTGTTTTTGTTTTTTAGTCATCCCTGCCGGGGCCCCGCCGAAAATGTTCGAATTGGGCCCCGCACTTCCTAAAGCCGGCCCTGGCTGGGAGTCAGTGCTGGCTGCGGAGGGGGGGTGCGTGGCCCCGTTGGGGGCGTGTGACTCACTGTGGGGAGCGTGGGACAGGGGGCTGAATGCTCCAAGGTCAGACCCAGGAGGCGCTGTAGCCAAGGGGGCTTGCCCTGGTGAGCGCGCGCCCTGAGGGGTGTCACACTGCCCCAGGGTCCTGTCGGGGCCCCCCAAGAGCGGTGCCAGGGCCCTGAGCCTTGGCACCCGTGACAGGAGCGATGAATACAGCTCAGCACAGAAACTACAACGTGTCTCACTGGTCGCAGAGGGCTGGGAAAAGGCTGACAGCTCCTCTCCTCAGAGCGATACTCTCCCACTCCTGCAAACATAGCAAGGAAGTAACGGAGCTTCTCCCTGAGGAGCAGGGGACCAGCCCGGCTTCCAGCCAGCGGCTCTGGCCAGCAAGCCATCGCTGGTTCACCACCGGCAAAAGCAGGTCTGACGAGATTTGGTGGGTCCCTGAATAAGCCCGACTCCTACAGCTAGGCTCCGACTGTCAGGGGGTGCCATGCAGGAGACAATCCAGTCTCAGCAGTGGTATCAATGTCACTTCCCAGTGAAAGGCACAGACTTCACAATGGGGAGAGGAGGAATAAAAGCTTGTTCGAGACACCGTGTCCAGGTTGTAGAATTTTATTTTACAGGGAGGTCGTACTGGGCACTAGCGAGTTAGAGACAGGCCCAGCTGTGCTTCGTGTCCAGTGCCTTAGACAGAACTATCCAGCTACACTTGTTTTCCTGTTTGGGTGGTCGCCTGCCCTGGTCTGCACATGGTTCTGTCAGAGCTGTCAGAGGAAGGGTCTCTCCCTTCTTCCCTCCCCTAGGAGGCCAATTCCAGAGCAACCATCACTGCCCACCTCACTCTGCCATCAGGGTCCCTTTGCCACTGTCAATCTTCCCATGCATTAGGATTTCAAATGGCTCATTACAAACCCCTTTGGGAGGGGTTAGAACAGGGGTCCCCAGAGTGCAAGCACAGTTCTTTGCCTAATGTAGTCAGAACATGGTCATCCTCAGCTTGACTACACCCAGTGCAGACTGCATGGCCTGCTAGGGGTCCAGCATGCAATGGTGGTCTTGCTTGGCACTCAGACGGAGTGTCTGGAGGCCACATCCATGTTGTCATGATGAAGAGGGCTACATTCTGCTCCACTCTGCTGCGTGTTGGCGCAGGCTGCTGGCAAGCTGCCAGCGGGACAGTGCCCCTGGAAAGACGTCCAGGAGCATCCAAAGAGTGAATCTGGTCTCATTGCCTGCCAAAGGGATTTTGGTCTCCTGCCTAAACCTTCTGAGCTAATGGGGTCTCTGACTGTATGTTGACTTCTACTAATCTGAAGGCTTGAAGCACCACAGCCAGCTGCAAACAAATGCCTTTCAGGATGTCGATGAGAGGGTAAGTCAGGTTCCGGACACTGCAAAGGACATTCAACAGGAATAGCAGCAGGGGCTGCAGGAGGCTGTTAAACACGGCGACCAAGAAGGGCTTAAGAATGTGATCGCCTGCTGTTGTCAGCAGGCCCACCACCAAGACCTGGAGAGAGAAGATGGATTTTGGTTAGTTGCTTGTTTTTGCTGAATATATTCACCAGCCAGCAGGATGTACTGTATCTGGCTGTGCAGTGGAACTGCTGAGTTTATGAAGAATCCGTGCAGGGCAGTCCACTAACAAGGACCCCGTTAACAGACCAACCATTGGGGTTGACGGTATCCAGATACAAGCTCAGGCTGGAGGGAAGTTCTCCAGGCTGAGAAGGGGGACAGCAGCCAGAAGAGGCCAAGAGATTGAAGGGCAGAGAGAACAGTAGAGAAATCTCCATTTCTCCCCACCACAGAAAACGGTAGCCTCTGTGTACTAGAGATCAGAAAAATCCAAAGTCAGAACAAAGCTGAAACTTCCCCAGGTATTATAGAGCATTGGTAACCGCACTAGGGGTTAAGATGAAAACCAGCTTCCCATTACAAGTCTGGTTTTCAACCCCTCAATGCAAATTCCCCCCAAAAGGAGCTGATCCTCTTTACCGGACACATTTCATCCCAGGGTAGAATCTGACTGAAGTACTGCAAGGGAATCGGGAGTTTTATTCTTAGTGCTGTAAACATTTTTCCATTCTTGACTCTGAGAAATTTCAACCCTTTCTTAAGCTTTGGCTCATCTGTCTCCAAAACGGCTGGGCCTCCACCCTCCAGAGCCGCTTTGCTCACTGAGCAGAGGCACCTTTTGGTATCTGGGGAAGTGACGGATTTATAGAATCATAGAATATCAGGGTTGGAAGGGAGTCAGATCAGGAGTCATCTAGTCCAACCCCTGCTCAAAGCAGGACCAACTCCAACTAAATCATCCGATTGCAGGGTTTTGTTTGAGAATTTCTTAATGTTTGTGCGATTCTTTCTAATCTGCATGTCACTGTCTAGACAACCTGGCGGATCAAGATACTAGTCTTCCTTTAACTCCTTTTCTGGAAAGCAGGGAGAGCTTCCACGCAGGCCCGTTTGCTTGTCTTAGATGGACAGTTCTTTTATGAATCAATTTCTTTGGTTCCCCAAACCAACCATGCAGGTAAAATTAGCCGAACGTTGGAGGTCCCTGAGCCCTCCAATTCCTAGAACACACCCTTCTCTCAAAGGGACGAGGAGTTCCAGAAGCGTCTCAGACTTTGAGAACGTTCCTGAGGCTATGCAGCAAAGGCCACTGGCCTCAGAAGCCAGGGGCTCTACAGGGGTTATCCTCTTTTCTATATAGAAAAGTAAGTTGTGCTCCCTGAAGGCCAACGTATCTCTGGATCCCATTTACTTCGCCCCCTCCGCTGGGAGTTGTTGACTTCACTCTTTAGGCTAGGGCTTGGTTACAAAGGAACCAGCACTTATAGAAGGAGAAAGAGGGATACATACACCCCTCATAGAAGATCTACTGCAAGAGGGTCTGCTCAAGGAAAACCTCTCCCCACTGAGATGGTAGAGGCTCCACCAGCCACACTGCTTCACTCACACAGAATCCAGCCCTCTCATGCATACCCAAAGAGCACAGAAGAGCATGTTTTGATTAGAGTTTGGCAATTACTTAAAAGAAGCCATGTTGATAAAGCAGAGTCAGGACTTTCATTTTTGAGGAGTTTTCCATTTCTCCTCCTCATCCACCCACAAACCTAAAGTCACCCCCTGTAGCATCAGTTCTAGTCTCCTAGGAAGGTTCTAGAGAACATCCTGTTTCCTTCAGAGGACTGAAGGTGTGCCCACCTCTACCAATACAGTCCTACATTATGTCTGGGTGGACTATGGTTTTAAATTGAGTTGGGATAGGCCAAAGGCATGTGACCAAAAAGGATGAGGTCACAAGAAAGAACAGCCAGTGTGTTAAACTTATAGTGACTGTTTGAAATACCGGTGTTCTCTTATTTAAGGTTTGGGCTAGAGTAACAGAAATAAAACACAGTTAATTGGGTACCAGGTGCAGTAAATAACTGGATATATAAGAAATTCTTTCATCTGGCCTTAGCTAAGATCCGATAGTTGACAATGACATCGCTTGGTTGTTAAAGTGTATAGCAAAGTAAACTCTTAAAGGGTTCTTTGCAAATATCTGCCTGACCACGCTGGAGCCGACCCATACGGGTCTACGCACCCCTGGGTTTAGCCCATTTGTAAGTATCTTGCTCAAATGCTTGTAAATGTTTTGTTACTAAATGTTTGGATTTACTAAATTGCTTATTAGTTAGGTATGTTTAGAGCAATTTCGGTCCCTAGATTTAACCAAGGAATGTAAGGTTAAATCAGTGTCATGGTCATACCCAGCATCGATGATGAAGGAACACTACCATACAATCTGATCCTCCTAGGCTGCTACCAGCGGTGCCTTTCTAGGAGCAGGGAGGCCAGTGGAGCTCTGGGAAGGGCACTACTCACCTGGAACACTGACTTGCCGAGAAAGCGGACCAGCTCAATAAGGAAAATGAGGACCACGTTCACCAAGATCCTCAGCAGGCCAAAGAATTCCCTCAGGTGTTGCTGAATCACCTTCTCAGAGCTGCCAAACGGAGAGGAAACAAAGGTTCTTACACTGGCCGGAAAGACCAAGTGGCTCTTTGGGAATGAATCGTGCTAGCTCTACCCTGGATGTTATGTCGACATAGAACTATTGTAAGAGTAAAATGACCCCCAAACCCCACCTAGCCAAACTAGGGGCCAACGCGGAGCTTGAAGAATCCCTTCCCCCAGCCTGCCTTTGATAGAAATGTCAGGCTGGAAGGGACCTTGAGAAGTCAAGTCCAGCCCCCCGCACTGAGGCAGGACCAAGTGCACCTAGACCTTCCCTGACAGGTGTTTGGCCAACCTGTTCTTAAAAACCTCCAATGACAGGGATTCCACAAACACCCTAGGAACCCTATTCCAGAGCTTAACTGCCCTTAGCGTTAGAAAGATTTCCTAATAGCGAACCCCAATCTCCCTTGCTGCAGTTAAGCCCAGTAGTGCTTGTCCTACCTTCAGTGGACTTGGAGAACAACTGATCAGATCCCCCCTGTCGTCTTGTCTCA